AGCACTCACAGGGTCAAAAGGAGATGCCTCAAACTTCCTGGGATTTCTCTCTTATGTCTTCCTGGGTGGGAAAATGCTTAGGATATGCACATGCCTAGAGGAGCAAATTTTAACATCATGGGAACTACAAGACTATAGATCGACTCTCTGAAAGCATTCCATGTGTTATAAAACAGATGTGGCCAGAGCAAATGTGAGTCACTCAAGGAATATTGACTGTTTCCTACAGGTGCCTCTTGGCTTCTGCCTTGCCTGCTGAACAGTAACTTTCTCTGAACCAGCTGACTTACATTTTTCTTTTCAGTTTAATGATCAAATAAAAAGGAAAGTACTTTGTATCATTAAGCCTGCTTAACTTTGCCTTATCGAAGACTGCCCTTGTAAAACCTGTATCACAAATGAGTGGCTAAAATAATTTATTCCTTGGAAATTATCTCTGATGAAAGATAACAGGCTTTTGAACTTTGAGCAGCACGTGAAGACAGAAAGAATAGTTTATTTATCCATGTGTATCAATGCCTAATAAGACATCTGAGTTCATAGCCAGGGCATGTGTATCAGTGGTTAGGACAGAAAAGTTGCCTTTGCTGTTGCTCTTCTGTTGGGCTGAGTTACTGTTACAAGTAAACCAGCTGCTGGCCCCAGATGCTATGGGCTGTCCTAAAGCCATGTGAGCATTTTTACCCTGTATTGAGCTGTGCTTAATGTTAGCAAAGATTCCCAAGTAACAGGTGATGAGGACTTACATATTAATACTTGGCTACTTGTGAATATATGAGCAAAAGGTATGCCCTGCACAATCAGGAAATGTGTTAGTTCCTGCCAGGGGGAGTTGGAAATGGCGTTTTGAGGTGGGAAGGTTAGAAGAAACAGAAGACCTCCTTGGTGCCAGAGACTTTGTATTCACGTGTTCTAAAAGTGGGTAGGACTTGCTAATCTTTGAGGTCCTCTCAGACATCTACAGCTTTATGGTTCCAAAGATCATGAGTGTGTGCTGAAACTGAAGGGCAACAGTTAAAGGAACCCTTGAGGGATGTGGCCTTTTGGAGTACATGGGTTTGGGTGGTAAATAAGGAATGGAATATAGGTAAGCTGGGTGGAGTGCACGAAATCCATGTGCACGTGAGTGTTTTCCACATGTGTCTGTAATCAGCTAATGGTGCCCCAGCAGTCCTTTTGTGCCTACAAGGTTATGTCTTGAATAATATTAATGATAATAATTAACCTTAGACATGTTTGCTTATATATACATATGCAATGATAGCCAATTCTATCCTGGCTACATATTAAACTAATCATTACCAGACCTCAAGATAGAAGAGTTTTCAGAATCTCCCCTGCCAGGATTGAGAAAAGATCCATCCCAGGTTTCAACCTCCAGGAACATACACATTGAGATTCATTAGTGGCCATGATGTCCCAAATTCCCAAGTATTTCAGTTCATACTTCTAAGAAGTACTGCTGCTCTTCTGGAAAACAGTAACACTGGGAAATGAACATAGCTACAAACTACTAATTTACTGAGTTATTAGCAATTGTTCCAAAATAGTCTCTTTAGGCAAAAGAAAATCCCATGTCATTATAATTCCTTCTTATTAGAAATGTTTCTTTTTCATTGTTTTCCCTTTCTCTCAAGACTTTTCATGACTTTTTTAACTAGTTAATTTTTCCACTCATAAATTTATTATTTTTAATGAAAATAGATTTT